AGCAGCGGGGCTCGACGGCGCGGCCAGCCGGCCGCCATGGCCGCGCACGGGAAGCTGCGCCGGGAGCGAGGGCCGCAGGCCGAGTATGAGACGCAAGTCAAAGGTGAGAGGGCGCTGGGCGCTCCCGGCTCTGTTCCCTGCGGAGAACCCGAAGGTTGTGGGGGAGCCCGAAAAGTCCCGCCGCTGGACCAGGGCCCGCTGCCCTCCCCCAGCGACCTCTGGAGGGGGTTGGGGAAGGGAGCCGGAGCCCCCTGTCCACCTCTTCCGCCCCTTTGGCCTTAACCAACCGCTGTTCCCCCTTCCTTCCTCCCTCCCTCCCTCCCTCCCTCTCTTCCTTCCTTCGGTCACTCGGTCTTCCTGGGTTCTTCCTGCACCTCACCAAGGGAGCCTGAGGAGGGAAAGCGGGCACTAGGTGCACTAAGGTGCCCCCCAGAAAGTGGCATTCTAGGCAGAGTGCCATTGAGCACCTTAACTTTGCTGAGGGGGGTTGGGATGAATTAGTGGTGGCTTTGCCCTAAACCCACTGCAGTCTCTGTAGCCTGGTCCCTTTGCTCTCCCTTGGGCACTGAGATGGCTCAGAGCTAAGGGCCGCTGTCTCTGGGTCAAGCTGGCGCAGTGAGTCTTGGCCTCAGAGATTCTTCAGGGCCAGCTTCGCAGCCTTCTGAGAGTGGACCTCTTTGGATTCTGGTAAAGACTCTGTGCAAATCACATGCAAATAAGCTTTGCAAATTCTTAGTCCACAGCTTCTGCTGGTCTTGTTCAGGGTGTGGTAGGTTTTGCAAAGGGAAGAAGGCAGCATCCAAGCACCAGCAGTTCACGGCCATCAAGTTTCCTGGTGTCTTCAGTTGTGTGACCTCATATATCACTCTCAATCTGTTCGTTTTACCTGTGAAGGAAACTGAAGCTCAGAGAGGAGCAGTGACTTGCTCATGGTCACACAGCACTACAGCTCCTAGGACGTAGAATGAAATGACCCTTGAAGTTCCTTTCAACAGAGAGATGCAGGTTCCAACGTAATTATCCAATGGAAGCAATTTACACTGAAGCCTGCCTGAGTCCTCCGGGTCTGGGAGAGGCGGCCTGCTACCCAGAGCCAGCT